GGTATGCACATTCATCACCGACGAATATTGATGAATTGCCCTCCCGTGGACCCTGCCTCCACAATGCATGAAAGTGCTTCTTTCCCCACACCCTTGCCAATACAGCGCATTATCAAACCTTTAGATGTTGCCAGTCTATGAGGTGAAAACATTAGAGTCTTAACAGAATTTCTCCTACCATGAGGGATGTCTAGCCTATTTTAGTATGTTTTAAAAACATTATGCTTTTCTTTAATGCATCTATTCATATTATTATCTCATTTTTATATTGAGGTATTGGTCTATCAAAAGTTGATTAGTAAGACCTTTTATAAATTAGAGAAATTAATCTCTTTTTTATAGGAACTGCAACTTATTTACCTGTTAATTTTGCTTCTAGTGTTTTTGTCATGCAGAAATGTTTGTTTTTAATGCAGCCAAATTTATCAATTTTTTATTTTATGTCTTCTGAGATTTAAGTCATAGTTAGAAGCCTTCCTTACTTTCAGGTTATAAAATAATTCTCCCACGGCTTCTAGTACTTTATGGTTTCACTTTATACATTAAAATCTTTAACCCATTTGGAACTTATTCATATAAGCCACGAGGTATGGATCCAGCCTTCCCCCTATGCCTACCCAGTTGTCCCAACACCACTTGTTGATAGTCCATCTTTTTGTCACTGATTTCAGATGCCACGTTTATCATGTACTAAATTCCTGTAAGCATTTGGGTCTACTCCTGGATTATCTAATCTGTTCCACTGATCTTTCTACACATGAACTAGTACCACAGTATTTTAATTATTAAACTTTATCAAATGTTTTAAAAACTGGAAGGGCTAGTTCCCTTAGTTGTTTTTCCTTTTCAGATTTTTCTTGGCCATTCTTGTTTTTTTTTCCTTTAAATTTTCTTTATAAACTGTCACATCAGCTTATCTAGTTACTGAAAAAATTCTATTTTTATTGCAATCATGATAAATCAATAGCTCTACTTTTGGAGAAACGACATCTTTGTGATGTTGAGTGGTACTATCAAGAACACAGTCTGTCTTTCCATTTGTTCAAGTTTTGTCTGTACCTCAGGAACACATTCAAGTTTTCTCTCTGTGGTTCTTGTACATTTCTTGTTAAATCTATTTCTAGGTGCTTTTGTGTTTTTGTACGTATTTTTTCTTGCTGTGGTAAAAGGAGTCTTTTTAAAAATATATGAATGCGGGCCGGCCCCGTGGCTTAGTGGTTAAGTGCGCGCGCTCCACTACTGGCAGACCGGGTTTGGTCCCGGGCGCGCACCGATGCACCGCTTCTCCGGCCTTGCTGAGGCCACGTCCCACATACAGCAACTAGAAGGATGGGCAACTATGACATACAACTATCTACTGGGGCTTTGGGGAAGAAAAAAAGGAGGAGGATTGGCAATAGATGTTAGCTCAGAGCCG